ACAGAAAAAGATCGGCATCATTTCAAAGTCATCAGGTGTGTCCCTTTATGATGTCCTGGTCAATACTCATCCCTGAAAACAACATCACAGGAAACAGATCATCTAGTTATTAACACATTGCTGCTAGTCCCACATGAGAGTTATTTCTTTTCTTATTCATTCATGGCTGGGTGCCTGTCCCTAGTAGCCCAGAGAAGGTGGTAGTCAGGTTTCCTCTTGGTCATTACCTGACACTTGTGTGCTGTGAATGTTACTTGCCACTTATCAGCCCAAACCTGAATGCCATCTAAATGCAATTGCTGCTTCAGTATCTGAGGGTTGTGAATGGTACTGAACGTTGTGCAATCATCAGCGAACATCCCAACTTCTGATCTCATGATGGAGGAGTGGTCATTGATGAAGCAGCTGAAGATGGTTGGGCTCCTGAAATATCCCAAAGTCTGTCAGAAATATTGATGTAGTTTTGAAGTGTAATTAAAGTTCTAATGTAGGTAAGTTCATTAAAAACCTAATGGCACTATTTCAAATTCAGTAAATCTTTCTTATGCTTCAGTAACCATTCCTGGATAAGTCATCATGTATGACATCCAACTGCCCCACCCTCCCGAACCAAATAAAGTAACTGGTAGTTCACTATTTTTCAAGCAGCAGAGTAGAAAGAGTTCAGGCTCTGTTCCTCTACACTCCTGCTTTGGCTCACCTGGCCAGACACATTCTTCTTTGCTTTCTTTGTTTTGCTTCTTCATGTCTCTTTTGTATCAAAGTCCATCTTTTCTTTTTTTCTGCAGCTGCCGTGAAGGAAGATGGTTGCGAGGGCAGCGCGGTGGATCTGGACGTCCGTTCCTCGTGGCCACAGCTTTACCGAAGACTTCAGCATTAGTGGGCCTGGTCCGGTCCTCCTGGCAGCGGTTTCAGCAGTCGCTTTAGCGGTGGTGGCATGGTTCCTTCCTCCTGGCTACGGCGGCAATGTGGCAGCAACTGAAGTGGCGATGGTTTGAGTGAAGCTTTAGTGTTGGTCAACTGGTGGGTCTAGTCTGTCCCTCATTTGTTTGGCTTCGATGTTGGCTTTGGTGTTGGTCCAGTCTGGAAATCCTTGCTTTGGTGGCCTCAGGAGCGGCTTTGGTGCTGGTATCCCATAACCACTCCAGAAACCCAAGAGCCGTGGAGGGAACAAAAGAAGAACTTTGTCCTAACTCTGCCTCAATTATTTCTTTATATAATTTCTGTAATTAAAACGGCACCAAATTGTAGTCACTTACACACACCTCATTGTATTTTCATAAATACATGTGACAATAAATTGTTGTTCTATTTTACCTTTGTGCTCCATATATTTACCTCCTTATAGCAATTTTATGTTCTTGGAAGATTCAAAACTGATTTACAGCGAATGAAAGACTTATGAAATGTAGAAAGTGTGGTCCATTAACAATCAAAACAACAAGTTGCTACCACAAAAATCCATGTCTTATGAATGAGACAATCTGATTTTTTGATGGCATTGACTGAGGGATAAATATCGGCCAAGACACTGTATTAATCTTCTAACTCTTTTTCAAGATAATCGTCATGGAATCTTTTTACATCCATGGAAGGAGGCAGACTGGATCGCAAACCTCTCACTTGAAATGGGAACGGATGTGACAATATAAACGCCATTATTTCAGGTATTTCTGGGATCAGTGGAGATAATGTGGGGTGAAAAAATTAAACAAGTGTGGTAGGAAAAACAGAAGGGTGCAAACAGACACCATCAAACTTAATATCTTGCTTACTAGGGACTCAACACGATGACCTGGCATACCTAACATGATTGACGGGCTGACCCCATCACTCCAGGGTTCAGCAAGAATGACAGCTAAATATCCTGCTGGCTCTCTGTGCCGACCTCTAATAAAAACCAATTCAAACCTGTCACGTTACTGAAGGGAAGAAGTGGCAGGCGACATTATTGGTCAGGGATAGTGGAGCATTGTTTTGCAGGGGGCCCTTTTTAGCTGGACAACAACTCCAGCAGAGAAGACGGCAGCAAAGTGCACTCAAAGCATTTTATTTAAATTTCCTTCTGACATTCAGGCTTTGTTTTTTTTTGTCACAAGCTGACAAGTATTTTAAAAGCACCTTAGACAACAGATTTGAGGAATTTTCTCAAATGACACACACAAGCCCTTTGTATTGAAGGCTAACATTCATTGTCTCCAATTCCAATTCATTCTTTTCCAGAACTTCGCAACTGTGGAGCTTCAGAGTCTTCCTACGAACACTGAAGGGCTTTTAAACCTCAAGACTGGCAACAATGAATCATCGTTAATTCATTTTACTCCTACCTTTCTTTCCTGTTCCTTCTTTTATTTTTTTAAGATCTCATGCCAACTTTTTTAAGACGATCAGCAGAATTATCTCCAGTTTCTTGGCCAATACTATCCCCTCAATCATCAGGGCATCTGGGTGTCTTTGGGATGGTATGGAAAAGATGGGCCAAATGGCCCGCTTCTGTGCTGTATCATTTTTACCATGAGAAGATTATCTGGCTATCATTACAATGTTGTCTGTGGAGCTTGACGTGTGCAAGTTGGCTGCCATGTTCTCGACATTGAAACTGCGATTACACTACAAACATATTTAAAGTACTTTGGAATGTTTTGACCGGAATACTGAAACAGGAGTATGGCACTCAGAGCCTCAAGCCTCAAGCCTGTTCCAACATTCAATAGGATCACACCTGATCTATAGCCTAACTTCATGTACCTGCCTTTGGCCTATACCCCTTACTACCGTAGTGAACAAAAAAACTTATCTACCTTGCATTTAAAATTAACAACTCTTCTAGCATCCATTCCTAACTGTGGCAGAGAGTTCCAAACATCTATCACTTTTTGTGTGCAGGTGTGCTTCCGAACCTAAGGAGGGGTGGGGCCACGGGGGAAAATATTTGCAAGGCTATGGGGAAAAAGGAGAGAAATTAAAATAATTGGACAGTTTTTTCAAAGAGCTGGCAGAAGCATAATGGGTTGAAGGTCTCTAACTCTGCTGTAGGATTCTACAAACAAACAATGGAAAATGTGTTGCCCACTCAATCTAGCCTCAAAAGCAACATCAATAAGCTGAAATAGAGTGCAGGAGGCATGTTTATTTTTATAAATGTGCTCTCAGGATGTGGGTGAAGCTGGCAAAAATGGCTTTACTGCCCATCCCAAGCTGCTGTAACCGCAGCCACGTACTGAGAACTAAGCGACAAAATTAAAGTTAAAACTATACCATGTAAGAGTGAAACCAGGAAACCTACAATTATTATGTTCAATCCTCTCACTATTTGTTTAACTGGCTTATAACATTATTGACTGTTTTCTGTAACTTTATAAATATGCTTTGTTTTTTTCATTAAAATCAACTTGCCAATGGCTGAATGATTCTCTGAGCTTTTCTGTCTTCAGTGTCAGCTGTCTTGCATTGTAAACAAGAGTCTAATCTGTGGGTCATCAGCCTCTTTCTAAACGAAGAGGCCATTTTAAGAAAATGCTCAAAATCAAAACTAATGAGAGCCAAAGACGAAAATCTGGCATTTCCAGAAGTTGCTATTTTAAACCAGATACTTAGCAAATAGGAAAATATCCCTGGCAGAAGGACAGTTTGCATATATAATAAATACAAGACATATATATCAATGGAAGTAAAGTGAAAATAAAATGTTCCTAACTTTGAATTGTCACTATTTTTGACCTGTTCTTTAACTATAATTTCATCAGTGAAATCATCCTTACACAAACATTATCTTACTGCATGTATAGTTAAGACAATTTTTTAGCTATTGAGTGGTGTAGCTATACCACTCAAACATGTCTATTCTGAGCAAAAAGCATTTTCTCATTTAAATCATCATTACAAACTGTAATATGCAGCATTCGCCTTTTTCTCCCACAATAAACACACAACCTTTATATTTCCTGACTTCATTTTTATTTCTGCTTTTCTCCCTTTTCTCTTTTTCATTCACTCGTGGAATGTGGGTGTTGCTGGCTGGCCAGCGCTCATTGTCCATCCCTAGTTGCCCCTTGTGAAGGTGGTGGTGAGCTGCCTTCTTGAACTGTTGCAGCCCATGTGTTGCAGGTAGACTCACAAAGCCCCTTAGGGAGGGAATTCCAGGATTTTGACCCAGCGATAGTGAATGGCGATATATTTCTAAGTCAGGACAGTGAGTGGTTTGGACGAGAACTTGCATATGATCGTGTTTCCATGTATTTGCCCTTGTCTTTCTAGATGGAAGTGGTCGTGGGTTTGGAAGGTGCTGTCTAAAGATCTCTGTGGTGAATTTCTGCAGTGTGTCTTGTAGATAGTACACACTGCTGCTACTCAGCGTTGGTGGCAGAGGGAGTGGATGCTTGTGGATGTGTGACCCAAGTGGGAAAATTTAGAAACTGCGAATGAGATAAAATGAAACGGAACCACAGGTAACAGACCTGCATTCGATACCAAGACATTTTTTGAGCTGTGATACATCATTGTCTCTTCAGTGTCAGAATAATTCCATGCAGCAAAATGAATTTCCATTTATAAAGCGTCTTGAACATAGTAAAATGCCTCAAGGCTTTTCCATAGGAGAATTGTCAGAAAAGCTGTTCCCGTTGATTTATGGAATCTTGATATGTTGGATATAACCTAAAAATTTGAGTCAGGGTTTTCAAAAGATAAGTTAGGAGACACTTTCCCACAGAATGGGTAGAAGTAATTTGACGTTCTCTTCTGAAAACATCAGTTGATGCTAGAACAATCGTTAAATTTAAATCTGGCATTGATAGATGTTGTCAACTTAAAAATATTATCGATTATAGGGAAAAGGTATTGGGTCTCCATTCATTCATCAGCCATGATTTCACTGAACGGTAGAACAGGCAGGCATAAGAGATTAAATGGTCCATTCCTATTCCTACGTTCCTTCAGGGCAATTAGCGATGGCAGTACCTCCTTAAGTATCAAATATCCCATTCAGACTCTTTCCTTACCTCAGATGTAAGTCCTCTGAAAACTTCAGGCAGGCATAGATAAACTCTTTAATCTGGGAGTAGACTTTGGGCACAAATTCAGAGAACGGGAACTTTTTGGGGAAGGGTTGCTGAAAGTAAAGAACACAAGTTAACATGGAACTAGAAACAATGTCACCAAGATTGTGAATCACAGATCACTCAATGCTGCATGCCACTGTGCAGTCACTTAAAGCTCTGGGAGCACCAATTTTTTTTGTAAAAAACCTTCTCTTCGGGTGCCTGTTTCAGGGTTCTGTCAAAATAATTTGGCAAATCAGCCATTGTTTGAGTTGATGGATATTGCACATTTGTAACAGTAGTTGGAGCTAATGGCGATAAATCTATTATATCTTTATGCCTAGAAATATCACTTATTTTGTTAAGTTTATCACACATCCCTTCTTCCCCTTTCTTTTGTTCATCCTCCACTCCCCATTTTCCTTACCTTTGCACTTGTGTAAAGCCTCTTAAATCAGTAACTTTTGCCAATTAGATATTGGCCTGAAATGTTAACTCTGTTTCTCTCTCCACAGCGGCTGCCTGACCTGCTGAGCATTTCCAGCATCTTCTGTACTCAGATTAGATTTTCAACATTTTCAGTATTTTGTTTTTGTTTGTTATATCTCCTGATCCAACATGGCACAACAGGCAGCATGGGAGAAGCTGAGCCACATCAAGGTGCTAAGCAATTTCTTAGATTGCAATTCGTTGGAGACCATTCACCCCATCATGTCTGAACCCAGATCACCAAATAAGCATTTCACTCCTGTCACTCTCCTGCTTTTTGACCACGACTTTGCAAATTCTTCCTTTGCAGATAAGCATGTAATTCCCTTTTGAATGCTTCAGCTGAACCGGACTCCACCACATTCTCAGATACTGAGATGCAAAGATAGGGAAAGAAGTCCAAGGGAGCCAAGGCAACATTTTTTAGCCAAGGTAGACAAATACAAAAATTGGCTAGTCATTTGAAAGAAAAGTTGAGGATAGGGATCAAGCATGGGCGGTCGTGAAAGTGATATCACTGCATGCATGGACAAACCACAAAACCAATTTGGGAGACACACACCTTGACTGAACTAACAGCTTGTGTTATTCCATGTAATGCTCTCGCCACATAATAGCATTGCTAGGAAGAAGCTGAGGAGACTTGTTCTGGAAATGAATGAGAGCTGGCAATAGTGGCAGAGTCATTTTGTCACAGAATGATGCCATTAGGCCTATCTACATAGTTTGATGACTCTTAGTTTCATAGAACATAGAATACAGAATACAGAACATAGAACAGTACAGCACAGTACAGTACAGGCCCTTCGGCCCACAATGTTTGCCGACCTATTATCCTACTAAGATACCCTGCATACCCTACATTTTACTATCCTCCATGTGCCTATCCAAGAGTTGCTTAAAAATCTCTATGCAGTTTCAATGCAGTGAAGGTGTACAGAAGAAAAAAGGATGTGGGTTGGATAATGGATTTGCAGCTTTTAAAGGAGTTAGAGGAGAAAGTTCACTGGAACTCTGATGACAGTGATTGTAAAGAAGGAGACAATGATGGCTTAGGGTCGACTTGAACGATAACACAACATATTGGAGCACAATATTGGGAAATGGATGGTTGAGCATTGAGTCAGTCATGAGGAGGCCACATGACCCATCGAGTTCATGCTAGCTCTCTGTTGAGTAATCCAGTCAGTTCTATTCTCCTACTCATTCACCTTTATAGTTTAGTTATAGTAAGTTTATTTTCCTCAAATGCCCACCCAAATTCCTTTGCAAGTCATTCATCATCTCCAAATCCACCATCCTTGTAGACAACAAGTGCATGCTGATGCATATTTATACAATGTGAGATGATCAACCGAAATACAACTTGACTGCTCCAAAGTGGCCTAACGGACAAAACTGGAGCCAAACCAAATCAGGTCACCTCTGGCCCTGACTGCCAAATGCAACTGCTGAAAACAGAGACTTTCATTAACAACGGAAGGCACATATGGCTGTGTCGTGGTTGATTTAATAGGTGCTGCACTGGAATAGGAAGCCCACAGCTAGTTAAATGACAAAGTGATTGCCAAAACCCTTTGTCAGTCTGCATTTCATCTATTGAAGAAAGCAGCTTTTTGCAGACATTGTGGAATGAACCCAAGAGTCTAATCCTGTCTGTTTTTAAGTGTCTAAATGTCACAACTCAAATGCCAAATGGCTCAAATCAAGAGCTTACCATGTTGGAAATGGCAGGAGTCACTGTAGACCTCGTCACTCCACATTCAAGCGCTAGACTCCACAGTGGCACAAAACCCTCACAGCATCTCATCTTTTATGATGAAATAATATTACAAGTACCATTTTCAAGGTAAACAATGAAATCAACAAGATATCACTATTGGGAATACACCATCTAGCTTTTTTCTCCCAGTCAATTTGCACTGTATTGATATCAAATTCCACTTAGACAACATAAAACCAAAAGATGTGAATGGTATTTAATCATTACTTATTTAGTATGGGATAAAAAGTGATCTGATTTATGTGTATATATTATTATGACTATTATTATTTTTAGAGTTAGGATTCTAAAATAGTGGCTTATGTGGTTGGTTATTTTTCTGGAAGGCAAGGCCGCAGGATTATAGAGTTTACAGGAGGGATAGAGAAAACGGCAAAGGAGGTAGAGTAGCATTACTGATTAGAAACCAAATCGCTTCTATAATGAGGGAGGATGTAATGAGGGGAAATAATACAGCGGAGGTCTTATGGGTGGGAGTGAGGAACCACATAGGAATAAAAACCACAATAGGTGTCATAGACCAACTGGTAGCAGCTCATAAGTTCCAGTTTATATAAATGCTGAAACTAGGCTACGATGTAGCAAAGGCAGAGTAGTATTGATGGGGAATTTTAATCTTAACATAGACTGGGAGAGACAGACAAGCATCTGCAGAAAGTTTCTGAATTTATAGTGTGCGTCTGGGATAGTTTCCTATGGCAATGTGTCTTGGATTTGACAAGGGAATAAGCAATTCTGGATCTAGAAATGAGCAACCAGTCTGATTTAATTAATGTCCTAGTTATTTATGGGCATTTGTCAAATAGTGATCATAACATGATTGAGTTTCATGAAGCATTTCTAAGAGATAAGCGAAGACTGGATACAAGAACTTTGGATTTAAGTAAGGCAGACTTTAATGGAACGAAGCAGACACTGTCCACAACAAACTGGGAAGCTCTGCTAATAGGTAAAACAACCAATAAATAGAGGAACCAAAACAGAAATTGCTGGAAAAGCTCAGCAGGTCTGGCAGCATCTGTGTAGAGAGATCAGAGTTAACGTTTCAGGTCAAGCGATCCTTCCAAAGAACTGGGAACTCGGTTCTAAGGAAGGGTCACTTGATCAGAAACTTCAACTCTGAGTTCTCTCCAAAGATGCTGCCAGACCTGCTGAGCATTTCCAACAATTTCTGTTTTTGTTTCTGATTAACAGCATCTGCAGTTCTTTTGGTTTTAATGAACAATGGAGGGTGATCAAAGAAATATTTATTGCTATTCAGAAGCAGTTTGTACCCATGGGAAGGAAAAGCTCCACCTCACATTAAAAAAAAGGCCATTGATGACTGTAGAGGTAATGGACAGGATAAAATTGAAAGAAAGAACTTATAAAAATGTAAAGGAAAGTACAAATCTCACAAATACAAAAACTAACAAAGGGTCATAAAGCGGCTTGTGAAAGCGATTAAAAAGGATTATGAAAAGAGAAAAAGGAACATAAAAGACAATAAGAAGAGATTTTATACTTATATAAAAGGAAAGCGGCTGGCTAAGAGTACTCTTGGTCTAGTGAAGGCTGAGAATGTAAGAATGGAGATATTGTCAGTGACGATGGGGAAATAGCAGACATGCTGAATGATTATTTTGCTTCAGTGTTCACAACAGAAAAGGAGGATAGCTTGCCAGAAGTCCCAAAGAAAGTAACAGAGGTTCAGGGACTAAATAAAATTTGCTTAAGTAAATTATCAGTAATGGAGAAATTAATGGAACTGAAGACAGACCAATCACTAGGACTTGATGGTTTCCATTCACAGGTGTTAAAGGAGATAGGACAGCTTAGATGCTGATGCCCTAACCATAATCTTTCAGAGTTCCCTGGATTCAGCAGTTGTACCTCTGGATTGGAAAGTTGTTCACGCCACTCGCTCTTTAAGAAAGGTGACAGAGGGAAACCAGAGAATTATAGGTCGGTTAGCCTAACATCTGGGGAAATTGTTGGTGTCTATAATCAAGGATAGGGTAACTGAAAACTTTCAGTTATTCAGGGAGAGTCAGCGTGGATTCATGAAGGGTAGGTCATGCCAGAAAAATCTCAAGAGTTTTTTGAAGAGGTCACAAAGGTGGTGGACAGAGATAAGTCAATGAATATTGTCTATATGGACTTCCAGAAGGCTACCAATGAAATTTCCCAGAAGAGACTGTTAGCTAAGGTGGAAGCCCACAGAATTGAGACCAAATTAGTGGTATGGATAGGAAATTGGTTGAGTGACAGGAAACAGAGAGTTGGAATAATGGGTGAGTACTCAAACATTCAAATTGGCAGCACACAACTGTGGTATCCCACAGGGATCTGTGTTGGGGCCTCAATTATTCACAGTATTCATTAATAACTTGGATAATGGCATAAGAAGTCAAATTCTAAATTTGCTGATGACACAAATTGGGCAGTATTGTGGACAGCGTTGACAACAAGATAAAATTACAACAGGATATTGATAGATTAGGTGAATAGGCAAAGCTGTAGCAGATGGATTTTAATATAAACAAGTGTTATAAGCAAGTACATATCAGGATATATTTTAGAAGGCACAAAGTTAAATACAGTGGATATCCAATGAGATCTGGGGGCTCTGGTGCATAGTTCTTTAAAATGCCACAAACAGATGCAGAAAATAATCAAGAAGGCTAATGGAATGTTGCCCTTCATATCTAAAGGGCTGCAGTATAGCAATGCAGACGTTATGCTGCAGCTATATAAACTTTAGTTTCACGCGAGTTAGAATACTATGAGTAGATGTGGGCACCACACCTTGGGAAGGAT